TTTATACAGTAATGTTACTCTGACTTTGTAACTTTCATATTTTCATTTTTACCTTCGCTTCGATTTTTCATCTACCCAATTTGCTAAAAGTTTTCTATTATACATATTTTAAATATTGTGACAATTCTGTTTTACTCTCTGTGTCCTGACTTAGTTTTATTTTGGAATGAATATTTCTTAATATCTGTAGGTCAGAATGCACTTAGAACAAGTATAAAATAATGAATATATCAAATAGACGGCAGAATGGAAATTCTATTAAAGGTGATAGGTCTTCTCACTTTCAGATAGCAAAATAAGTCACAGTTAGTTATTCTAGAGACAAAACAAATGATCATATATATTTGTTGAAAGCCTAGAGAAAACTCAAAGCTCTGTTACTGACAAACAGTAGAGTTCTACTTATTTCAGGCATAAAGAAAAGGTTTCCTTTCAAAGTCTGTGTATTCTAAATGTGATCAAGAATTGTTTTGATATTAAATGAAAAATAAATATGTACTCTATATTTCAGTGCTTCCTTTCATTGCATCATTTTATTCATTATTAAAAAACAAAATAAAACAAAATAAAAACTCACATGCTTTGTTACCCAAATCTAACACTAGAGCAATTTTCCAAATCCAATTAAACATTTTACTGTAGTGAAACCAACATTCATATTGGAAGATTGAGCAAACATCTGTTTCATAAAATAACCATGTTATAACAGGGACTTACTGTTGGTAGTTATATTTTATGGGATATAATTTGGCATCTGAATCGACATCATTCTCCAGGAGCAATATTTTATCCTACACATGACAGTTGAATAATCCTAAGGCACTGTGGGGTCTGCTAGTGTACACAAAGAGCTTAAAAAACAAAATCCAAAGATTTGTGTTCAAATCTAGACTTTACTACAGTAAGCATATGACTTTGTACTAGCTATTTAACCCCTAATATCAGTTCTTTCATCTTAAGATATGAGCTAATAATAATTACTAATTTCCAGTGTGCTGTTAGGTCTGCATAGTGCTGAAATAATATTAAGAGTTTTTACTGCTATGAATTGTTTTATTTGATTGATTTAGTATTATCTTTTTAAGTAGGCAATGCTTATTCTAGAAGGAATATTTCTTAACATCACTAGATGGGATATGCATCTCTTTGCTACTTTCTCGCTGCTGAATGTTAGTCAAGTTACTTAATCTTTCTGAGACTCAGTCTCTTCATCTCTAAAGTGGAGGTAGTCCCTACTTCTTTTGATTGTGGTGGTGATTAAATAAGATCAAATGTGTAAAGAATCTCTAGTAGATGCCAGCTGAATAACAAATCTTTTGTCTCTTGTTCCTACTGGTTGATTTTAATGGCTGAGCTGCTCGATGTTGACTCTTCGTTTCCCTCTTCATTTCAATACAAAATAGAAATATCTATTTCATTAATCAATATCCACATTAACAAACAGTATTGTAGCCACTTGAAAATAATCTCAGAATTACAATCTGTTTGAAGATCATCAATATTTACATTACAGTTTTTAAGACAATTAATTAAAAGCAATTGTCAGACTTTTAATCAGAAAATTATATCAAGGTGAAGTCTCTCTTTTTTAAAACTGTAAAAATAACACTTCAATTTCAAAAAACAAAAGACTATAGTTTAAATCAATTGTAATAAAGAAAATAAGAATTTAATTAAAGATTACCTGTTTCAAAATGCCTGCTGCCATTTCATGGCTACAGTCAAAGATTACATGGAACTCCTTGCCTCTTTTCATTTCTTTTAGTAAGGGTTTTGCATCCTTTGTGTCAGCAGGTAGTTGACGGATTTTAAGTCGAAGATTGTACCTTGATGGAGCTTTGATGAGCTCTTGCAAACGAATGAGACCTTTAATGAAAAAGGTTTAAAAAAAAAAAGAATATTAGAGAAAAAATGGAGTGGATCATAGAATCACAAAACATACTCAGTACAAGGCCTGATTTTCTTGACCAGATATATATATATTATATGGTGTGGCCACTGAAATTCCTGTTTTGAAACTCTAGATCCCTAATGATTTTTGTTAAAATAATCACTTCTCAAATTCTACATTTTTCAAATTATGAAAGACATAAATGACTTTAAGTTAATATAAATAATTTAAATATATAAAGGGACATAGAGTCAAATAGCCTCCTTCTGTACTCCAATACACTGTTGTCACTGTTACTGGCTTGAAATATGATTCTTCCATATATTTCCTGTACATTTCTACCTATATACATAGAGGTTTTGTATTTTATATTAATAGCTGTTTTGTGACAGTGTCTAACAGGTTGTTGTAAGTCAATGATTATTGTTCTAGTTTGTCCTTAATTAACAGTGTTTTATAGTGGACATAATTTATTACTAGAGACTGGTTACTTCTTTTTTGTTTTTGTTTATAAGTAATGGTATAGTAATTTAGTATATTCAAGAGTGAAATAATTTTCCTTAATAAAATAGATTCTAAGTAGTCTGAACCGTAATTAAATTATTCTAGGAAATAAAACTTTTTTGTATCATTTTCTAGGTATAATATTAACTTCAGAAATAAATATAACCACAGACATTGCTAAAGCATACATTTTCTTAGAGAAGTAGCTCCATAAAAATTTTATGTATTTTAAAATAACAGAGATAAATCATTGACTGTATTCCTTTATACAAACTTCAAGAAATGAAACTCCTTTAAGAACGGATATATAAAGAGTGTGATAAGAAGAAAAGAATCATCTAATTCTATTCTAGCTTGGACCAAGTTAAGCAATTTCCTTTTCTCTTTCCTCTACTCTTTCTCATTATCTATCTCTTTTCCATCTCATTTCTATCTCTTTATTTCTATCTTCCCTGAAAAACTATGTTCATAAATATTAATATCACAAATAATAATAAAGGAAAATATTTGTGAATAATTAGAACTGTCTCTCTCATATATATAAAATATATAAATATATATTACTTTAATATTCTGTTTGAAAATAAGAATAAAAATATACCTCATTATAACTAAAATTCTACTGTGTATTAAAATAACAGAATCTAGAAAATAAAATCCAATTATAGGAATTTATAAATAGATTCTCTTATACATATTATGCTAGATACCCTTTAATACATTGCAACATAGTTAGCAATAAAATTAACATGACTTGTTTTCAATACTCTCATCTTCAAATTAGACATGCAATTTAAAAAATATGTAAATTCAAATGTACCTAGTATCTTTTGCTTTAAAAATATTGTCCTATAAAATTTATTATAAATTATTTTAGAATTTCGTCATTTAAAATACTACAAATAATGGATGCGTAAATCATACAGTATAATATTATTAGCTCATTTTGTTTCATGAGTTTAAATATTTACTAACTACAGTAAAATAAATGCTACGTAATTAATTGATATTAAATGTACCCACTAAACAATACAATTCAGTCTAGGGAATTAACATGTATATAATGAGTATAGATTATATTATATATCTAACATATATATATAATAACAATGAGCTGTACAAAGATGAAACAAATATCTGAACATATAACAACTGCTTAAATATATTAGATTTAACATAAGTCTTATAAAATCCTCCAAAATATGTGTAAAAAGTAACAGATCCATGGGACACTTTAGTTTCCATGTCTATTAAACGAAAATCTTATCTAGATTAGCAGTTCTCAAAGTTTGATCCATAGACCCTAGCATCATTTCAGGAGGGTCTCTGAGGTCCTACTAGTTTTATAATAATACTAGATTATTTGGCTTTTTCACTTTCACTCTTTCAGATGTGTGCAGTGAAGTGTCCTAAGAGGTTACAAAACATATGTGACATCACAGCAAATTGAATTAGAAAACAAATATGAAAATCCAGCCAACTTCCATTAAATCAAATATTAAAGAGACTTATGAAAATGCAAAACAATGCCACTCTTCTCACTATTTTTGTTTGTTTGTTTTGGAAAATGTAGGCATTTTTCAATTAATTATGCTATTTATGTGAATAAATAATGGATTTATTATTGCTATTATCAAATGATTTAAAAATATTTTAAATGTTATAATTTTTATGATATGGTAAATATCAATAAATATAAAACATTATAAATGCTTTTAGATATCCTCAAAATTAGTGATATAAAGTGGTACCAAAACCGAAATGTCTTAGAATTACGAAACTGATTCTAAATTTTTTCCTAGCTCTAAATTTTTATTATTCCAAGAAAATTATTTATATAAATGCAGACTGATCTAATGCCAACTTTAGCTGAATAAAGAAAAGAAAGCTACCCTTGGTCTACTTACTTTATAAGATTTTGTACAAGTCAGATGCAAATTTGGGAGATTTAGCCTGGGTGTTGGATTTGAATCTCATTTCAAAAATCTATTATCTGTGTGACCTTGTGTAAGGCATTATATCTCTCTTAGCTTTGCTTTGCTTTCCTCCTCTCTATGATAGGGTAAAAGCACCTATGTTTGCATATATATAATACCAAAAAAGAAACTGGCATATATTAGACTCTTGATAAGTGGCAGTTGTCAGTGTTGTTATTTTAGCTAACATGGGGGGAATACAGTTTTGTTTTGTTTTATCAAATTTATTGAGGTTACCTTGGTTAAAAATTATATAGTTTTCAAGTGTACAATTCAATAATACATCATATGTATATTACATTGTATAGTTTTGTTTGTTTTAACGTGCTGGTAACTAAATATATTCTTGGAAGGTATTGGACACTGATTTATACTGAAAACCTAACAACATCAAAATTTTGATTTTTAAGAGATGAACTCCTTACCAAAACAAAAGGAGATATATAGTTACAGATTAGCCCAACAGATTTCAGTTGAAAAAGCTTAGCTGATACAAAAATAAAAATTTTCTGAAGAATTAAATCCACAAAAAGTATTTGTGAAGTTCACTCTAAGTATAAATACTGCCAAGTATTTTCCAAGTCTCTTAAGAGCTCATGTGGATAGTCCATTGAGCTATCAGGTACAATAAATGTTTACTTATTCTCTTCACACATATATATCCCTGCTAGCATTAATGTAACAGATTTCAATTCACCAGCTCCCCTGAGGAATAATACTGAAGAGCTAAAAAAAATAACTGCTGTTAGTAGGAACTGCCATCTTCTACTTGAGAATTCAAGTAAAATGTTGTCTTCATTCATTCATTCAGCACACATTTACTGTGTGTAAGATATTACATTATTGATAAATATAATGATTAGAATAATAGTATGTATTCAGTCTTCAGCTGCATGAGACATAGTTTGACTGTCGTATTTTTTTTTTTTTTACAAAAGTTGTTTTAATAATGCTTTTCATATTCAGTTTTTAGAATAAAAGTGGTGCAGCATTTCAATCAGTCAGAAGAAATCTAGAGAGCTGTTTGAATACTGAAAGTAGAATCGTGATTTTTAAATTCTGGCTTTCCATCATATCCTGCAACAGGTGCTTAGACTTCTCTAATGGCTTCTAATCCTTCATCAAAGTGCCCTGTGATATTGTTTCTCTTTTATCTATATTTCCATTCTAGATTCTTTGCCTTCCCCATTATCTGGCATTTAGATACAAATACCTTCCTGAATTTTGTTATTTAGAACACCTTGGGAGAATAAGAGAGAGCTGACAAAGTGAAAGATGCATTCGAAACATCCCCAGAATGAATGTTTACCCATCTATTTAATATAAGTGATTTGATGGTATCCCTGTAGTTTAATGTATGTGGATAAGGTTTTATTCATAGGAAAATGGGCTTAAACAGTAGGAAATCTTTTAATACAATACTGGCTATGTGCATTCCTCTCAGGATTTTCGGCACTCTTCCTACCTCCCCAATGTTCCTCTGCAACTTATCATGTTCTAAAAAATACCAATTTTGGAAAAGATTATCCTAACCAAATACAATATGCATGTTTTGTAAAATGAAACAGTTTTTCTCTTTTTTAAGAAAAAAGTCTCTCAAAATAATTGGGATGGTTTACATGTGGTCCTATCTTATGGTCTTTTGATCAAAATGGAGAAATAAAAAGACCCAGCTATTAGATAAAATAGAAGGACAAAATTTATTTGTTGAAACTGTGGTTAATACAAGTAATTTCCAAACAATGATTTTCAGAAAAATAATTTAACAAATTTGTCACCTGGTTAAGTTATTTAATGAAAAAGTAGAATTATAACTCCTTAAAACAGTCTTTTAATTAAAATGCCCCCTTTTGCCTAATGTAATTAATTGATGTAATGATAATAAAAAAGAAACAATCTGCACAGATGGGTTCCTAGAAATCTTCTAACAAAGAAAAGCAGCACATTGCAATTATCCCTTTATTTTAGTAGATGAGTAACATTCTATTGCCTCTAATTCCTTCACTGAGTGTATATATGTTTTTTAGCCTTTTTCTACTTTTAGTTATTTTATAGTAGCTAAAATGAAGGTGTAGCTTAAGCTTACAGGGGACAGAGGTCTAAACTGTTCTTTTCAGAATTACCATCAATTTAGCTTTTAAGGAGAATCCAGAAGGAGCCATTTATGCAGACTCCAGCTGGCGCCTTTTTCTAAAGAGATCAATCACTCCACCTCTTCACAGGCCCTTCTTCTCCCTAGTCCCAGGAAGGGAGTCCCAAGTTTCCTCCTATCCTCAGGTATTGATTTCAGCAGCCACACAAACTAGAGCTTTGCCACCTGGCGTATTCATCAGGCCTATTTATCATTTCAGTTAATTGGTCTTTTGTGCAGGCCGGACTACCCCCTAAAATGTATTGTATAATAAACGATACAAAAACGACTCATCTACATTCAATGTTTCACCATCTTCTCCCTCTCCCCCTTTTTTTTCAGTTGAAAAAGGATAATTCATTTA